TTTTTATTTCAAACCAAAGTGAGTTTCCTCTAGTTCAGGGTTAGGGGTCACCAACTGTGTTTGTTAAGGGGCCAGAATTGTTCCTGGACAGACGCCTGACACTCAAGTAAAACAGAATAAAAATCACATCTGTATTTTATTTTGGAATCCATTCCCGGTCCGGATTGAGCAGTCCGGCGGGCTGATTTTGACCCACAGGCCACCAGTTGGAGATCACTGCTCCAAGGCATCGTGCAAAAAATTTTTTTATTTGTAGAAATAAAATCAAATAATATTGTGACAAATGTAGCAGTGAGACATTAATGGAGAAAAAAAGATAATATTTTTTATAATATATTTCAAATAAAACAAACAAACCAAATAAACAGATCAAAGTTATTTTTTCCTTCATCTATTATTTTTCAAAATTCCCCTGGGAATGACCCAGAAAACCAGTTTAATAGAAGCAAAAAAAAAAATTTTTATAAAATCTCCAAATCTTCTCACGTGGTTGAAAAACAGAATCTTTTTATTTTCAGATACTTACTAAACATTCTGGGTTTTTTTTTTTTTTTTGATCCTTCAGCTCTTCAAGCTAAACAGGGATTTTTCTTTCTGTTATTTTTCAGATTTCTCATCACTGCTCCCACTGTTGCAGTTTCAGCCTGTTGTTTTCCTTCACAGGAGGAACTCAAAGACATGCAGAAAAACAAGTTTACACAACCAGCGGTTGTCTACATCTTTCTCCGCATCTTGGCTCTGATGGATGACTCTTAGTCATCGTCTGCAGAGATCAGTACACAGTCTGGGCCTCGCTCAGACACGCTGAATTAATGGCTGCTGGGAGTGCAGCGATAGAGGCCGGGGATCGATACATCGGACCAGCAGAAGATGCTGAGAAAGAAACACTGGCCTCAGTGTTTGGCTTTTCAATCTCCCTGAATGTCTTTTTCTCCGTCTGCGCGCGCGTGTGTCTCCAGTTTGTACCGGTGTATTCCTGGGAACTCTGATGTTCCGTGAAGTTGTGACAATAACAAGTTAAGACCGTGTTGACACAGAAGGAAATCAAAAGCCTTCACTAACCCTAATGTCTGGTTTTCCTCCAACGGCGTCTTCCGAGTACGAGCCAATCATTACCTCCTGTATGGACTGAGTGCTGCTGTGGCAGTTTGGAGGTTTAATCAGTAAACAAAAAAATGAGCAAAGTGGAAAATATTTGCAGCGGCAGAAAAAAAAAAAATCTGAGCGTAACAATGGAAAGAGGAGAGAGAATTTCATGACACTGTTGGTTGAACATTCATGAAAATCAAGTTGTTGGAGTTGGACCCTGGACAAAAACCAGTGTTGACCAACAATAAATTTGAAGGAACTAGTCATATATACATATATACATATATATACATATATATATACATATATATATACATATATATATACATATATATATACATATATATATATATATATACATATATATACAACAATATGTATATATGTATACATATACATAGATATACATATATACATATTGATGTATATATATACATATATATGTATATATATACAGCAATATGTATATATGTATATCTATGTATATGTATACATATATACATATTGTTGTATATATATGTATATATATATGTATATATATACAGCAATATGTATATATGTATACATATATACATATTGATGTATATATATACATATATATACAACAATATGTATATATGTATACATATATTTGCTAAGTCTTTTTAATTTTAATAAATTCTGGGGGGAAATATCTAAAAGAATGAACAAGATTTTGAAGATTATATGTTTCTTCGTCTAAATTCGGTGTCTCAAACTCCTGGCCCAGGGACCACAATTGGCCCATCAATACAATAATTTATAATTATATATATACATATATTTTTGCACTTAAAAAAACAAGTGGCATTTAAGAATGTAAAGTAAAACATTTGTACTGTTCACTGTAAGGATCAAAAAAATATTTTTTTCTCTCTTTAGGACTATTGAGAGACAGATGACAGGATGAAGAAACATTTTTTAAAAAAAACAGTCTTGGTGAAGGCAGGGTTTCATAACAATCGATACACAGCAGATACAGTAGAGGTGTGTTGAATTACACAGTCACGCGCTGACTCACGGCAAAGTGACTGAAAAACACAGGGGAGTGTTTGTGCGGCGTCCAGAGAATCCCTGGCTCTGATACACAGGCTACTGTTTTTAGAAGGTGAGTCAGGTACGAGTCATCGCTCAGAGAGTCTCCAATAAAATCCTAGTTACCAAATAAGTGACGCGGACAAACAAGAGCCCATTATGTAACGCCGAGAGAAAACTGGAACGGACGGAGATGAAGTAGAAAAGAAAATACAGTCCAGTCAGGTTGTTTTCATTTGTAGAGTCTAGATTCACAAAAAAGGGAGACAGTGGAGAGGGAGAGGAAAAAGGGGAAGGGAGGAAGGAGGGGGGGAGTAAAAGCGGTAAATATATAGCAAATATATAAAAGTATGAAATCAATAAAATGAGGTATGTCGCTACGTCACAGCACGGTACCAGAAACACTCGGAAAATTTCTCAAGATACGAAATCATTCTACTCAAAATCGTCAATTTAGCTAGCTTTGCGCTAACACCGTTAACTAGCCTGATGTTGAACAAACAAACTGTCGCTGTCACGTTTCAACTTAACTGTCATTTAAGTTGTACTGTTGAGCTTCTAACTAGCATTAGCTAGAATTTAGCTATCATTAGCTGGAATTCTTTTTTTTTTCCTCATAAAGACCCAGCCAATAGAACGGACTGGTGATCTGGCTGTTTTTCAACCACCGCTGAGTAGCGATATTTATTAGCGATGAAAATCCAACACTCCATTCCCATCTTTAGCCTCTTTGCTAGCTGCAGCCCATGCAGCTACAACTGTTTTGTACTTTTTTTTTGTTCTATTTTTGAATCATATTTTTTTATTTTTGTTGTGGTGACGTTTTCTCCCACTGTTTGTTCTCACTGTTGTCTTTGTTTGTTTTTCTTTTTCTTCCTGGTCTTACGCCTCATCTATATATAGAGTGTTCTGTCAGACACACACACACACACACACACACTCTTGTGAACATGCAGGTTTGTTGACGTGTCCACTCTCTCTCTCTGCTGCTGCCTGATAATCGAGGAAGCCCCTCGCCTTCACTGTTTACTCTCCCTCTAGTGTTTGCTACCTGGTTCCTATGGACAAACAGAGTGAGACTCAGACACATTGACACGGCTCGTGTGTCTCCATCATGGTGGACGGACATTTCCAGTCCACTCCCCAGACATCTGTAGGCTTGGTTGTTTGCTTCTCTGTCTTGTAGTAATTGAGTTCAAACGAAGTGAGGACGGGAATTAGTGTTTGTGTGCACAGCTACTGATACACACACACACACACACA